TTTGTTTTTTCTCTCACCAGTACTTGGGGAAATTACTGATAGAGTGACTTCTTTTTCTACTAACAGTACAGTCATAAAACAGAGCCATCGAATCTCATCCTGTGTCCTCCACCCTCTAGGGAGCCACTCCTTTTCCTGGTCCTCCTGGATCCTGGAGGACTCAGGCCTATGTGAGGAAAGAAAAACAAAACAAAAAAACCCCAATAAAAAACAAAAGCCAGGGGTGAGTAAGAACTGTTGTCATGCCCTTATTTTCTTCAAGTATGTGTTTCTTTCTCTTTTTCTCCCTTCTCCACTCTGATACTTTCGGGTCAAGTCCTGATCTCTGGGTATAAGAACTGTTTTCCTTGATTCTGCTGTGGTTGGGTTCCACCCATAAGAACAATAGGTCTATTTTTCTTTCTTTTTTTTCTCTTCTATAGTCAAAGGCCCTTGTGTTTGTCCTCAGGAGTTTCCACCTGAAACTGGTACCACGGTTTGAGCTTCCCTGTTCTGTTTCTTCCCGATCATATTAGAATCTGTAGGTTTGTGGAGTGGTGTAGGGGGGTCCTGAGTTGTGTGCAGGAGAAGGGGAGGGTTGTGGAAATCCCAGTCAGTTGCACTTGGGAGAGTTTTCTAGGCCTGTTGGCAGAAGAAGCAGAATTGTGGGCCAGGAAACCTGGTCCCTGGGGCTGGTGACTAAGCTCTTATCTTGAATTAGTAGCTCAACTTTTCTAGGCTTTACCTTTGCCTGGGGCTTCCCAGGTGCATCAGTGGTAAAGAATCTGCCTGCCATTGAAGGAGACACAGGAGGCACAGATTCAGTCTCTGGGTTGGGAAGATCCCCTGGAGGAGGAAATGGCAACCCACTCCAGTATTCTTGCCTGGAGAATCCCTGCAGGCTATAGTCCATGGGGTCTCAAAAGAGTTGACTAGGACTGAAGTGACTGAACATGCATGCATGCTGCAAAATGGGGAAATTTGACTAGATGAACTCAAAGCCTATAGCCTGAACGCCCTGCCAGGCCCTTTCTTTCCTGTTTCTTATCGATATCTCTGCGTCCAAGGATCTACTATGAGACCAAATAAATCTGACTAATAATATCTGTATGGGAGGGGCCCACTCCCAGCTATTATGTTGGATGCTGGATTTCTAGAGTAGAGTGAAGGGGGTGGATCTCCTGGGCCTGGTCTTATCTGGCGCCTTCTTTGACGGCAGGAGGGGTGGGGTCCTTTGAAACTGTGGAAGTCTTGACCAGCAGCCTAAGGAATTTAGACTCCTGTGAGAGGGGAACTACCAGGGACTTTAAGTGAGAAGTGACCCGGTCAGATCTGTGTTTCAGGATGTGCTCTCTGGCAGCTGTTACGCTGGGAGAACTGTGGCCGTGGAGGGTCCCTGTGAGAGTCGGGACTGGGGGAGCAGAGGGCCCAGAGAGTGGGAGCCAGGAGAGTGCTCCGAAGCACTGGCTGGCCATGGCGAGGGGGAGGCCTGAAGGCAAGTGGGAGCCGCGTCCTGTCCTCTGCGGGCTCTGGGGTGATCAGCTGTCCTGAGCCCTGAGAGAAGGATGAGGGCTGGCTGCCTAGGGACCGAGCAGCTAACCGAGTTGGGTGTGTTTATTTTTTATTTTTAAACTCACCTTATTTATTTATTTTTAGCTGTGCTGGGTCTTCGTGGCTGCTTAGGCTTTTCTCTAGGGAGCAGGGGTACTGTCTGGCTGTGGTGCGTGGGCTTCGCGTTCCGGTGGCTTCTCTCGGGCTTCTGGAGTTGGGGCACACAGGCTCTAGAGCACAGGGTCAGTAGTTGTGGGCACGGGCTTAGTTGTTCTTCGGCGAGTGGGATCTTCCCAGACCAGGGATAAAACCCGTGTCCCCCTGCACTGGCAGGTGGGTTCTTTACCACTGAGCCACCAGGGGAGCCCAACTCGGATATGTTTAGATGAGATGCCTGTGGATCCTGCAGGTGGAGGTACCCTATGGGCAGTGGGAAGAAGCTCCCCAGGGAGGCGGGGGCTGCAGCGGGTGGGCGGGTGGGCGAGGCCAGGTTGGAGAAGTGGGAGCCAGCCCAGAGGCTGGCCTGTGTAGTACAGCTCTCCTGGTCTCCTCGTCACAAGTTCCAGGGCTGCGTTCTACTCTTCATCACCCTTTTTTCTCTGGTCAGGGTGACTTTTCAGAGTTTGGCTTAGATAGGTATTCTTTTTTTTTTTTTCCTAGGCCGACTCATATGGATGTATGGCAATTAGATAGGTATTCTTAACCTGGGGGTCACATACTAACCGCCTGAAAGTCTTTCGGAAAATGCGAGCTGTTAATTGATGACGGGGGAGGCGGGGAGGAGGGGGGAAAGGAAGGCCTTCTGGAGAAGATGGAGGAGAGGGCAGCACGCAGAACACACTATGAAGCACTTTAACGTTGGTGATGAAGCACAGAGCACAGTGTGGACGCCAGGTTTTGTGAGAGCGCACGTCCAGGGACAGAAGAGAGGGGGTGAGACTAAGGGGGGGTGGGTGGGGTGGGGGAAGAGGTGCCTCAGAAGGATGAAGCTGGTAACTGGGCTACAAGGTCTGTAAACCTCCTTGGGAAGCTCCTTTTTGCTTAAAGATTCCTTGGCCTGTCAATTCCTTGAGAGTAATGAATTTTATGTGCACGAATTGCAGCATGAACTCCTATCAGTCCATAAACTCTGCGAGCTTGATAATAATTACAGTACAATTGACAACTAGTACTGCTGGTCGTGTTTGAAGAGAACAGCTAATAGTCAACAAACACTGTGTGCTTAACACAGGCCAGGCATGTGCTAAATACTTTAATAATCAGACGAGCTCCCTTGATCCTCACAAGGTGCATGCAGTGGGGACTTTATTAGCCCTTTTTTTAACAATGATTAAGCTGTGGTCTGTTGCACAGGGTACTACAGGTACCTGCAGGGTACCTGATTTGAGCCAGAACTTGAAGACATGTCACTGGGCAGGGGCGGGGGGTGTGGGGAACTTTCTGTTGTAGTTCAGTCACTAAGTTGTGTCTGACTCTTTGCGACCCCATGAACTGCAGCACACCAGGCTTCCCTGTCCTTCATTATCTCCCAGAGTTGGCTCAAACTCATGTCCATTGAGTCGGTGATGCCATCCAACCATCTCATCCTCTGTTGCCCCCTTCTCCTCCTGCCCTCAGTCTTTCCCAGCATCAGGGTCTTTTCCAGTGAGTCAGTTCTTCACATCAGGTGGGATTTTCTACTTGTGCTCTTCACCTCTCAGCCATCCTGTGGGGAAAGTGACGAGGTGGGACTTCTCCTAGGGTGGTCCTCAGACCGTCTGCGTCAGAGTTACCTGGGGTGTTTGTCAAAAACTGAGATGTTTAAGTCTCATCTTGGAGCAAACGGAAACAGAATCTCAAACGTGGATATTTGCAACTGAGCTGCGGTTGGATGTCTGACTCTGGAAATTATGGGCTCCTGCCTTCCCCAGCTGCCTGCATCTGGGGTCTCGCCTCTCTTTGAGGTGGACAGGCAGGCTCTGCTCTCTATCTTTCTCTGGGCTGCAGGAGGGTGTGTTTCGTTTTGAGAGTGGAGGAAATTATGCTAACATCTATGCTGGAGGAGGCGCTTCCAGACAGTGGCTTTTATTCTCGTTTTCCCTTCACCTTTCATTCGCTTCTCTCCTCTCTGACAGCCCCTCCCCACCGACTCCCTCTCCTGGGTGGGTTTCGCTTCTCTGCCTGTCCCTGGGTGGCTCACCACCTGAGTGGGACAGGACAGGGGGTGGGTGCAGCAGTGTCCGTGTGGTTCGGGGCTCAGGGGGATGAGCACTGGGACAGGAGCAGTGGCCCCTCGGGTCCTTTCATGCCTAACCCCACTGGAAGTGGAGGTGGAGATGGAGGTGAAGGTGACATTTTCCATGAAGTGCGGCTGTTTCACTCCACGAAGGGTGGGGACGTCTGAGAGCAGTGGCAGGCATGGTGGAGCTGCAGCCTAGCATGTGAAGTGGAAATCCTGTCACCCACACACAAGGCTGCGTGCTCCCCATTTCTTCTGAAATGGAGAGTTAATCTCTCTTCGGGGTCCCAGCCAGCCAGTGCAGATGGACAGAAGGAGGTATGAACCTTCCACTACACATTTAGAGGGCTGATCCAGTTCCACTCCCTGTCTTGAGTGAGGACTCTAGAGTTCGGTTGAGAAGATGTTCACACACTGGGTCCCTGGGGACATCCAGAGGTGGGGCAGGGCCCTGGGCTGGGAGAAAGGAGAGCTGGTTCTTTTGTTTTTGTAATTTTAAATTTTTAATTGGAGGATAATTGCTTTACAGGACTTCCCTGGTGGCTCAGCAGTAAAGAATCTGCCTGCAATGCAGGAGACGTGGGTTCATTCCCTGGGTCGGGAAGATCCCCTGGGAAAGGAAATGGCAACCCACTCCAGTATTCTTGCCTGGGAAATCCCATGGTCAGAGGAGCCTGGCAGGCTACAGTCCATGGGGTCACAGAGTCGGCCACAACTTAGCGACTAAACAACAATTGCTCTACAGTGTTGTGCTGGTTTCTCCCATACAACAATGCAAATCAGTCATAATTATATATATCCCCTCCCCTCCCCCTCCCGTCTCACAGAGTGCCAAGCTGGGCTTCTTGTGCTACACAGCAGCTTCCCACTCGTTCTTTTATACAGGGCAGTGTGCGCTGAAGTGCCTGTGGGTGCAAAGACTGGGACATGACTTAGCGACTGAACAAGTGTACATTTGTCAGTGCTGCTTTCTCGATTCATCCTACGGGAGAGCTAGTTCTGAGTCGGCTAAGGGGCCTGCTCCATTTGTTACCGTGAGAAAGTCACATGCTCACTCTGGACATGAGTTTCTTGTGTGGAAATTGCTGGGTTTGAGTGAGATGATCTTTGATCTCAGGTCAGCAGCAGGGGAGTCAGGGCAGGGGTGGAAGGGACCTGCATTCTCCTTTCTTTGGGTCTCACATGCCTGCTTCCCCCCTTCGCCCCCCAAGTGAGCAGGTTGTGAGTTCTGTTTTTGCCTCTCCCTCCCCAGCCCTGTGTCTCAGTGGCCTGAAGGAGTCACCCACTGTGGCTGTGGTGAGGAGGGTCTGTGGAGCCTGGAGCCCCCGAGGCACCTGCAGAAGCAGGGTAGGTTCCCTGCCCTCTTGGAGAGTTGTCCTGTTGAGGGGGGTGATACAACTTACTTTTCTGTTCTCCCACCTCCTCCCCAACCTACCCCCCTCCACTCTGCCTCCCCAGAGTCTCACATTCAGTTTCCAGAGTGGGCTATGATTGTTTGATAACCTCCCTGGCTATTTCCTGCCTGCAGTTTCCTGTAACAAATAGCAGGAAGTTCGTTTCATGGTCCCCAGGTTCTCTGTTTCATGTTTTCCTCTTCCCTCATAGAGCGGGAGGGAACACTCAGGGGGTGCACAGGCATGTGGCCTGCTCCAGCTCTCTGTATTCCTGTATGCTGAAGGGTGGGGTTATGTTCTTAATGTTGTCTGGGGGCCTCTATAACACATATGTGCAGCCGTGTGGAGTCCTAATGTCTTCTATGTTGCTCCCACTTAAGAGCGGAGTGTGGATGCTGTATTTGAGCAGGAGTGTAGTCAAGGCTATGGTTTTTCCAGTGGCCACGTATGGATGTGAGAGTTGGACTGTGAAGAAAGCTGAGCGCCGAAAAATGGATGCTTTTGAACTGTGGTGTTGGAGAAAACTCTTGAGAGTCCCTTGGACTGCAAGGAGATCCAACCAGTCCATCCTAAAGGAGATCAGTCCTGGGTGTTCATTGGAAGGACTGATGCTGAAGCTGAAACTCCAATACTTTGGCCACCTCATGCGAAGAGTTGACTCATTGGAAAAGACCCTGATGCTGGGAGGGATTGGGGGCAGGAGGAGAAGGTGATGACAGAGGATGAGATGGCTGGATCGCATCACCGATTCGATGGACATGAGTTTGAGTAAGCTCTGGGAGTTGGTGATGGACAGGGAGGCCTGGTGTGCTGCAATCATGGGGTCACAAAGAGTCAGACACAACTGAGCGACTGAACTGAACTGAACTGTATTACATTATCTATGCCTGGGGCTGCGCATGTGGGTCAGAGTCAGGGGATGGGGGGCAATGGCAGTTGATAGGGAAAGGAAGTGATTCAGGAGCTGGGTTTGCTCTGTTTATGTTTCTGCTTTTTATGCAAAGTACTGGTAACTCATGTTGTCAGAGGACCAATTAAAAAGGTGTATGAAATTTCCTTAATATGGTCTGAAATTTGCTTTGTTTTATTTATTTATTTTTGGCCATGCCACATGGCATGTAAAATCTTAGTTCCCCAACCAGGGTTCAAACCTGCACCCCTCTGCATTGGTAGGTGAAATCTTAACTGCTGGACCACCCCACTTTGTTTTATTCTTGGATGTGTAAGATGTGAGGGTGTGGAGAGCAGAGGATGAAATGCCAGGCCATCTTGAACAGCCTGAGGTCAGCTCTCAGAAATTAGATGTTGAGTATTTAGCCATCACCACCCATGTATTTGTGGGCTTCCTAGGTTGTGCTGGTGGTAAAGAACACCTGCCAGTGCTAGAGGCATAAGAGACTTGAGTTCAGTCCCTGGGTCGGGAAGATCCCCGGAGAAGGGCACAGAAGCCCACTCCAGTATTCTTGCCTGGAGAATCCCCATGGACAGAGGAACCTGGTGGGCCACAGTCCATAGGGCCTCAAAGAGTAGAACAGGACTGAAGTGACTTAGGATGCATGCATGCTGCATGATGTGGCCAAAATTTTTTTTAAAAAAAGAAAAGACCACCATAATATTGTATAGTAATTAGCCTCCAATTAAAAGAAATTAATTAATTAAAAAAAAAGAAATTGTAGTTCCCTAGAGAAAATTCCAGATGTATTAATACAAATTGGGTTTCGAAGAGTCAGAGGAACCAGAAATCAAATTGCCAACATTCAGTGGATCATGGAGAAAGCAAGGGAGTTCCAGAAAAACATCTATTTCTGCTTCATTGACTACGCTAAAGCCTTTGACTATGTGGATCACAACAAGCTGTGAAAAATTCTTAAAGAGATGGGAATACCAGACGACCTTACCTGTTTTCTGAGAAACCTTCTGAGCAACAGTTAGAGCCAAACTTTGAACAACTGACTGGTTCAAAATTGGGAAGGGAGTATGCCAAGGCTCTATACTGTCAACCTGCTTATGTAACTTATACGCATAGTTGTTGTTTAGTGGCTAAGTCGTATATGATTCTTTGTAACTCCGTGCACTGCAGCACTCCAGGCTCCCCTGTCCTCCACTATCTCTCAGAGTTTGCTTAAATTCCTGTCCATTGAGTCGGGGATGCTGTCTAACCATCTCATCCTCTGCTGATCCCTTCTCCAAAAGGAGAAGGGATCTTAACCACTAGACCACCACGAAAGTCCCATGAACTACAGTTTCTTTACCTGTTCTGAACAGGAGTGTGGGCGGTAGTTAAGGGTAGAGTAGAGAGAAAGATGCACAAAAATGCTCAAAGCAACTGTGCCAGTTTTTTTTCCCTGAGGCTCCCATACTAAGCTCGGATCCCCTTGACCATACCAAAACACCAAGTCACCTCAGTGGGACTCCATTCTGCTAAGGCTTCGTGGTCCCATGTGACTTCTCTTCCCCTTCAACACTCACTGCCTTTGATGTTAGCCTGAAGCACTTTGTAAGATCACTGGGGTTAGGGTGTGTGAAAATTTTCCAGACCCCACATTCCTAGGGTTGGCTCTGGGCCTTGCACATTTCTACTTCTCTAGGATGACTCTAGGAACTTAACCAAAACCTGGGTTCTACTGTATCTGTTTTACCACCCAGCTGCTCCCTAAGGACAGTTTACTAAGAGACAGAGACAGAGGCTTCAGGCACTAAGATGTGTCAGGTGTCCATGTGCTTCTGGAATCAGGTAGATCGGATCTGGATTTAAATCCATGCTTTGTCTTCCCAGGTGGCTCAGATGGTAAAGAATCTCCCTGCAATGCAGGAGACCCAGGTTTGATCCCTGGCTCAGGAAGATCCCGTGGAGAAGGGAATGGCTACCCACTCCAGTATCCTTGCCTGGAGAATTCCATGGACAGAGAAGCCTGGTGGGCTATAGTCCATGGGCTTGCAAAGAGTCAGACACGACTATCGGATACGACTGTCGGACACGACTGAGCAGCTAACACACACTGTCCTTCATTAACTGTGTGACCTTGGCAAGTGACTTAAACATTCTGCAAGACTCAGTTGCTACATCCGTCAAACACAGATGATGCCCACATAATAGTTATTATTGTAGGCAACATGTATTGAGCACTTTATACTTATTGAGTTAATCCTTATATGTTTCTAGGATCTAATTAGTAGGGTAGCTGTCATTTGTCAGATGAGAAACTGAGGTACAGAAAATTTAAGTAGCAGGTCCAAGGTAATGTAACACATAAGTAATGGAGCTGGGGTTCTGAGTTTGGACTGTCTGACCCCAGGGCCTGTGTTTAACTATTGCAGTGGACTGTGTAGTTCACAAAATGTTAATAAGAATTAATTGAGAAGAACATTTAAAGCCCCAGGTAGGGACTTCCCTGGTTGGTCAAGTGGTTAAGAATCTGCCTTCCAATGCAGGGGACTCAGTTTTGACTCCTGGTCAGGGAACAAAGATCCCACATGCCACACGGCAACTAAACCCATGGGCTGCAACTATAGAGAAGCCGGCATGCTGCAACTAAGACCTGACATAGCCAAAAATAATAAATAAATATTTTTTAAAAGTTTAATTACCTCTAATTAAAAAAAAATAAAGCCCTGGGTATAGTGCTTGGCAGGGCTCCCCTGGTGGCTCAAAGAATCCACCTGCCAATGCAGGAGACACAAGGGACTCTGGTTCAATCCCTGGGTCAGGAAGATCCCCTGGAAGAGGAAATGGCAACCCACGCCAGTATTCTTGCCTGGAAAATCCCATGGACAGAGGAGCTGGCGGGCCACAGTCCATGGGGGCCGCAAAAGAGTCAGACAAGGACAACAGCCCAGTGGTTGGTACACAGCAGACACCGGGTGAATGGTAGTTGTTACCAGCAGAGCAGGGAAGTCTGCCTGCGCCTGGGTAGGCACGGCCCTGGGTTAGCAGAGACACAGGTCCTCCTGCCAACTCGAGGTTTGCACAGTGGCAGGGCCTCTTCCAGCCTGCTCTCTTATGGCTTTTGGGCACAGTTTGTCCCTGTGCAAAGAAATCCCAAAGTTGTCTGACGGGCCCCGAAAGGAAAACACAGGAGCTGAAACTGAGTGGCCATAGGGAGGGGCTCCTGGTGGGGCTCCCTCCCAGGGAACCAGCTGCTGGAGAATCACCTTTCTGACTCTGCTTCAGAGGAACGTGGCTTTTCATTTCCAGCCATCTCACCCATTTGGTCAGAGCTCCTAGGTGAGCCACCTGTGAAACAGCAGCACTGCTGTCTGGCTTGGCCCCAGGTGAGCAGTTAGTGCCAGGAAGCTCAGGGGACCCTGCAAGGACCCTGGGAAACCTGATTGTGGGCTCAGCGGAGGGGTGTGTCACACTCTCTGTTTCTTTTCATGTGTGTGTATCTTGGCTTCCTGCCTGACCCAGGACCGGCTCTGTTGGCAGCAAGCAGTTCCGGCCCACCCATCCTCTCAAGGCGCCAGCTGGGTTGGAGTCAATGTGGTTTATGACTGTGCATGCACGTGTTTGGGGCTTCCTGGATAGCTCAGTGGTAAATAATCCACCTGCAATGCAGCAGACACAGGAGATGCAGGTTCAGTCCCTGGGTTGGGAAGATCCCCTGGAGGAGGAAATGGTAACCCACAAGTATTCTTGTCTGAAGAATCCCATGGACAGAGGAGCCTGTCAGGCTGCAATCCATGGGGTTGCAAAGAGTCAGACAAGATTGAGCACAGCACACACACACACACACACACACACACACACACACACACACCATGTTTATTACAGAAACTTTGTAAAGTTTAAGATTTTCCTGTGGGGGAATGATTGTAAATTGATATAGCAACTATGGAGAACAGTATGACAATTCCTTAAAAAACTAGGAATAAAATTACCATGCTTGCATGCTCAGTCGCTCAGTCGTATCTGACTCTTTGCGACCCCATGGACTATAGCCTGCTAGGGTCCTCTGTTCATGGAATTTTCCAGGCAAGACTACTGAAGTGGATTGCCATTGCCTACTCTAGGCGATCTTCCCCACCCGTGGATCTAACCCATGTCTCCTGCATTGGCAGGTGGATTCTTTACCATTTCGACACCTGGGAAGCCCAAAACTATCATA